TATATCTTTATGTTTGAAGCCTGAAATGTGGCAAAAGGTTGAAAAGTTCAAGGGGGCCGAATACTTTCGCAAGGCACTGTATATTCAGATAAACTCTGCTAGGTGACATTACTTTAAAAGTCCAACATTATGTAGGATTCTTCTTACTTAGCCCTCTGGTAATGAACTCATTCTCTCTCAGACTCAATTGGAATCTTTTTTTATTGACCATATGTACAGCAAGGAGGCAAACCATTGTAATCTAGATACTGGTAATATTCGGAATGGCTGTGGATTTAATGCTTTTAAACATCTGTCCTTTGCTCTCCTCTCTTTGTGTTTGAAGGAACTTCTTCCCCTGGTGCTGATGTTCGAATTGCCAGCAATTATCCAGCTCAACCCAGATCCCAACTCTCCAGCTGTCCAGCACATATCTCAGACCTATAACATTTCAGTGTCATTCAAGCAGCGTTCCAGACTCTATGGGGCTACTGGTGTTGTGAGAGGATCACAGAACAACACCACCGCTGTCAAGGTAATTAACCTCTTTCACTCCATCACTGACTGTTTTACAAATGGTTGGAAGGCAACTTGAGCATGCTCTGCAGCTTATGGACATAAAACGCGAAATATGATAAATATAAAATTTCTATGTCTGGATTTCATAATCCTTTCTTTCCCACCACAGCTAATTTTGAAAAACATGGCTGTTAATGAGCTTTGCTCTGCACTTTGACCTCCATAATGGCACAGGACACTATCTTGTCTACAACGGGAGCCATCAGACATTTTTCAGCCACTGTGCCAGCTGTAGACTTGGCATGAATCGGTGGAATGATGTTGATCCAGTCTCCAGGGGCGCTCTTGTGCGACAAACCAAGCATACCCTGGCTAGCTCCATCCTACGCAGAATCAGTAGCATTTCATAGCTCAGGGGGCTCACGACTTTACAACAACTGGAACCAGACAACGTCTGGTCTATAGTGCTCAATAAATGCCTTTAGTGGCTGAGCCACAAGGGAGTCTTTTAAAAAATTATTTACACTATAATCAGAGAGTAGATTTTCTTTTGGAAAAAAATGGAAGCTTTAGATACATTTGTTTTCAGATGTGTTTTTTGGATAAAAGTCCTTCAGGCCTGATTGTCTACTTGGAAATGGTAATGAGTAGGTATGGACACCATACAGTTGATACTCCACTGGTTACCAAACGCAGTCAGTGGCTTAAAGGTATGCGTGCTATGTGCTGTGAACCGAGATGGTGATGAAGATGCCAGACCACATTCAATAGCGGGAAGATCAGGATCTTGATTAGAACCTATGATTTTTGGTCGCCATTGGCAACTGCATGGAGGGAAAAAAGAAACTCTAGAAAAGAAGACTTCTCGTCAAAGATAAAACTATAGTGACACTTTATAGTGCATTTGTAAAGTGCATGCAGTATTAAAACAAAGTTCTACCTATTTCTCTGTGAATGTTTAATCTTTTGTGGTTTTATATGTTATGCGTTTGCTTTCTAAGAATTGTACTGGTGCAAATTGCCACTTTACAGCCCTTGGCCAGTTTTCAAGTCGCCAGACTAAAGGAGTCCGTGTTTTTCCGGCTTATTTTTCAGAGAGGTACAGCTCTGTTGCTAGAACATCTGGCCGGCAGCTTGGCCAGCGCCATCTCTGTCAGCTCTCAGCTCGACATCGCGCCCCAGCACCACCTCTTCATGATGGGCCGTAACGGCAGCAACATCAAACACATCATGCAAAGGACGGGAGCCCAGATTCATTTTCCCGACCCCAACAATCTGCAGAAGAAATCCACTGTCTACCTCCAGGGCACCATTGACTCTGTCTGCTTGGCGAGACAGTATCTCATGGTAAAGCAACACTGTGACAGTCCTTTGCTAGCTCTAATAAGGAGCGGCATTCCAGTGCTGGCCTTGGTGTCTCATGGTTTATTCTTAATCAGCTGTTTCTAGTTGCACAAAAGGAAAATAGGAGGTCTACATATAAACACAGGGTCTTCAGCTGGAACTCACAAGTTGAGAACATTTAACTCTTAGATTTTAAAAATACAGCAGTTACTTTCTTGGTCTCCTTTTCTTTGTTCTGAGCAGGAACTCCTGAGTGTCAGGACAATGATTATTATAGTCTTTAACGCCTCTTATTGCCTGCTAGAAATCTAGGTTTCCTGGTGTATTCGCTTTTAAAATTCCTGTTTATCTAAAGTAAAATAAATTGTTTGGGGAATTAAGGAACAATATGCCAACTGAAACTATAGCGCATCTTGAAAAATATATAATCTAGTATATATAAGTGTGTGTTTGGTTGGAGAATTTTTGCATTTGCCTTACTTTACCAGACCAGGACATTCTTCAGGAATAGTTTCTGAGCATGTGGTATCATTATTCAGAAATCATCCAAATGTGAGAATTGTGAAAACAATATTTTGTGCTTGAATAACACCAGTCTATCAAAGAAATTGATGGGGTTTGTTGTCAGTTATATGACATGTAAGGGATCTTAATGTCTTTTTTACTGTACAAAGTATTTTAACATTTACTGTGCAAGTCAAAGCCCTTGTACATGATTCACCCTTTCAGTTTACAAGATATCTAGATAGTATGCAAGGTGATAGGTAATTTTATAATGCACACATTGACTGAATGCATGATAACTGGATTTTGTTGTGTGTTTTGCAGGGTTGCCTTCCTCTCGTGCTGATGTTTGATATCAAAGAGGACATTGAAGTTGAACCGCAGTGCATTACTTCATTGATGGAGCGCTTAGATGTCTTCATCAGCATCAAACCAAAGCCTAAACAGCCTAGCAAGGTAAACTACAATTCTGGTGGCTGTCTGACAGCCACGTGTCAGTGTAAATTAAAATCTTTTATGTTTGCATTTGGACCTAGGTGATGAAAACCTAACCACAGAGAATCTGTAGTAGACTAGATATTTTTTTAAATTACACTTCAGCTTGGTTTAAAGAGTTTATGAGGGTGGGTGGGGTTGGGAATCCCCATCACAGCTTATCACAATCTGTGGAGAAGATTGCAATAAAGAGGCTAGTGTTTCTCATTTCTCATTGACATGATTGGGTTTTTGAGAAAACCTGGAATTTAACAGAAATGATAGGCATATTTCTTAAATGAACACTTGAACATACCTTGGCACTAGGATGTACTGCCAAAGCTCCAAGTTACATTGAAATATTACATGTTGGGTTGGCTGGAGGAAATTGTAGTTTCATTTAGGTACTTAACTGCCAGATTGTCAAGATGGGCCAAATGGCCTCCTCTCACTTGAAGCCTTTGTTACTTTCTGTTAGATGTAACTAAAATGCAGATGCCATAAATATTGTGATGCACTCCAGGCTGTATTGTCTTTTTGCCACAGAAAGTAGTTGTCCAGCTTTCACTTCCTTTGAATGTAAACAAGATTTTCCAGAGTCTCTAATGATCTTGAGCAGTGAGTTCCTGATCATGGAGCTGCACAAGACAAAAAAACTCTCTTGCCAGTTGTGCGGACTCAAGTCTTAGGCAGAATAAAAAGACCTGGATCAGTGCATCTCAGACTAGCTATTTATAGCCTTTGAGGACTTAAAAATTAATTATTAAACCCAATATTCTTTTTCCATTTTTATCAGGGTCCTGCTTCTCCACTGAAAGAATTACTTGATTACATTTCATGTGAAGTGAGCCAGTGTTCAAAACTGTGGATATGGAAAACATTTGCACATAAAACAAAATTGCTTGATGTGAAACAAATGAACAGTGTCAGATTGAGGGATACAGATTTGTGTGTACAGTGTTTTCATTGATTTTGTAGCAGTCTCTGCTGAAGACCCGAGTCTGATGCAGTTTTTGTTTTCTATGCACAGCTATCCTTTGAGACTTAAATGATTTGCACGTCAGAAAGCATTCTCATCAGCTTTAATTATATGCCACTCAAGGGACAGCTGTTTTCTTGCATTCATTTATTCCAGCATCCATTTTTGCTAGAATGTTGTACCATGTCAATCTCTAACAAACAAGTCTTTTAAACATTTGTGGAAGTGTCAGTCTCTGTTAAGTACGTCATTTGATTTTGGGCTTTTTACCAATTTACAAGTCAGTTATTGGTTACTGTGGATTATACTGTGGAAGGCTTGTAGCCAGATGCACTGTATTGCTATGTGAGCCTGGAAGGCTGTAACAGCACCCTGACTTACAACTGTCAGCCTGCAATTTGCCTTTTGGAGGGAAAGAGGCATGATGATGAGGAAAAAGTATATCACAGAACCACTTTTTCGATGCCAAAACATCCAATTAGCAGTTGCAAATGCTTTAAATACTTTAACAAGTAAATACATTAAAAATAGATTGGCATGAATTTGATGACAGTCTGTCTCTGCTGTAGATTGACTGTGCATTAATATCAAAACCCAACCCTGTTTCCCAAACCAAGTCCCAGCCCATGTAATAAGTTTCAGAGCTGACTCTAATGTCATTAAAAATACAGTATATAAAGTATTTTTATAGACCATTGTAATATGACCTAGGTGACATTACTTTAAAAGTCCAACAATAAGTAATAAGACCTAAAGTAACTTCTTTCTATGTAAAATAATAATGGACTAGTGTAGTGCTACACTAGCACTACACTCAGCACCTCGGCAGCGCTTACAGTGCTTGAATTTCTATAGCACTTTCCATTCCAAAGGATGCCAAATGTTCAAATGTTCACAGTGCTTCACATTTAAGAGGGGTTTCCCCTCACCTGCCTCTGAAGCTCTGAAGTGCACCTGGGTATGCTGGCTGCCCGATTGCATGGCAGGTCAGGTGGAGAAGAGAGGAATTACTTCACCGGGGCAATCATTGGAGGAATTCAGGGTGGATGTTCAACGTGTGTGATTAAAGTAGAATTTAGTCCGGACACCAGGGCCAATACCCTAATATAAACAGTGCCATAACCTCTTTACTTTCCAAGTCTGATCTGAGGGATGGTTTACTAGCTGCTTTTCTGGTGTCATTACGTTCTGGTGTCGTTACCCTCCAAAATACCGACCCCCGCTCATAGAGATGGATGTGCTCAATGCCTCCCACTGCTTCCCTGACCAGATGTGTTCCTGGCTCAGCCAAGATCAGACACCTTAGGAGAAAAAAACCTGTATGTTAGCATCAGAGTAATCCACCAGATCTTTGGCAGTTAGGATGGCATGTTACCCAGGATGGCCCACTTCACACGCCTATTGGATCTGTAAGGCAGCCTGATGCGCCTTGTCTTCTTGCAAATGCGCATCTCTTGCGGGCGCTGGGTTCCAAAGACTAGCCTCTCCTCCAGGCTAACAATTGTCCATGTTCTGTCCTGCAGTCGGTGATTGTGAAGAGTGCAGAAAGGAACGCCTTAAACATGTATGAAGCAAGAAGGTTTCTCCTGGGTCTCGAGAACAGCGGAGTTTCAATACCAACCAGCGGCACCTCCACAGTCATTTGCCCTGTGGGTCTGGACATCTTGGCTTCAGCTGGTCTGGGGCTCACCAGCTTAGGTAACGACATTGCTCTTTGCCCTAGAATGAAACCTCAGCCATCCTTCAGCACAGGACTGGCAACGGGTTGAGCAGCTCAGACTCCTAATTCTTCACCCTCCCCCACCCTTGCCTACCTAACTGAAACAGATTGATTACTTATACTGAAAAGGATATAGTCTTATTAATATTTAAGACACTGTCTTATCCTGGTATCTGAATATGTGACATAATTGTGCCTTTGGATATTTGACTTCTTCAAATATTTCCAACTTCTCTCTTTTTCTAGGACTCTTGGGTCCAACTGCCCCTTCCATGAACAGCTCTTCTGCTCCTAACTCCCTCCTGAATGCTCTGAACAGCACCATCAGCCCACTACAGAGCTCCAGCTCTGCCACTCCCAGCCCCACCCTCTGGTCAACGTCCCTCTCGAGCCCTACGAGCACATCTGGTAAGTGTGTGACGCTGCAGAGTGTGATAGCTCTGTCAGTAAGGCTGCCATAAACCGCCAAACCATGAGCTGAAGCTCTTTGTGGACTTTATTGAATGTGTTCTATTGTCCTCAGTCATGTTACCTACTCTTGTGGACTTGGATAGGGAGAGAAAATAAACCCTCTTTGCGATGTAAAAATGAGAGCTGACAAAGACCCCACTTAATTTCTGTTTGTTTCAGGATTCTCATCTCCTTTAATGATACACCCAACCACGCAAGCCACCCTGACGAGTATTCTGCTTTCTGGAGTCCAGGGCTACGCCCAGAGCACCCCTTCCCCTCCCCCTGGTCTGGCACCCATCGACTCTCAAGTCAACGGAGGCCCCGAGTGCAGCAAAGCCCCCTGCTCTCTGAATGGCCATGTCAAGGTGCTGTCTCTCCTCCTCAGCCTGGGCTTAGTGTGTCTGACAGTGCCGTGTCAACGATAAGACTGTGCCCATCCCACCACCTTCCAGTTCGGAGAGACAGCAATTGTTTTAGTCTTGGTATTCTTATTCTGACAGCTATGCACAGCTTTTTACAACTTACAAACAGTTTTAGAGCATGTCTTTTGTGTCTGTTGTTTAAAGAAAATCAAGCTTTAAAATTAAGCCTCATTACAAAGTAATCTGCTTTTTATTTAGTGGCTGTGTACATGGGAAGGGGAGATCAAACATAACCCTTAAGTTTCCATGTATAAATATTAAGATGCATGTTTGCTGTTATGGATTACAGCATCCCACCTCGGTGTACGGCAGGATATCAGCGTCTTCTCTAGCAGATAAAGTTTTGAGCCCAAATCACAATGATGCTTCCAAAGAGAGCAGCAGTCACAGTTCCACAGAGGCTCTCACCAGCAAATCCGGCCCCGACGAAGGTAATTCAGCAGCCTTTTACCCAAAATGCATCTTAAGATTGTTTTCTTGATATACAAGATCTCCTTCTCTAGTATTTGTTGTCTGAAAGGGAAAACAAACTGCGTCTGTGTTTTCAGGATCAAACGATGCTTTTGTCGAAGTAGGAATGCCAAGAAGTCCTTCCCATTCAGCCAGCAGCAACGAACTGAAACAGATGTTGGGATCTTCAAAGTTGTCTACTGGCAAGCGACAAGCTGTGGAGCTCCTACAGGGCACCAAGAACTCTCACCTGCAGTATGTAAACAATGTGAACTGGATCTTGATTATTTGTTTGCAGCACTAAATCACATTTTATGTAGTTATGATAGAGTTCTAATTTATTGATATTCTGTCTTGATAGTGGCTTCATTTGTTCTTTAGAGTCAGGCCCGCGTCACCTGTTTCCAGTAGTTTCTATGTAGAATTATCTCTTTATTAGGATTTACTTTTTGGATTTCTAATATAAAAAAGTTTTGATTCCTCTCTTAAATTACAGCAATAACATTATTTGTCTTTTCTGCCTCTGACTCTTTCAGTCAGGCCTTTCTTGATTGAGTGGATACCAGCCCTATTCCTGAGGGACCACTGTCTCTTCTGGTTTTTGTTACAGCTGAGCTCTTAATTACAGGCCAATTTATTTCAATTTTGTATGTGGGTGCTATTTAAAAAAAATAGCTTTCACCTCTTAAAATGATGAATGACAATTGTAGCCATTTTCAGTCCAGTTTGTGAATTTCAGAACTGGCCTGTTTCAGGTGTGCTTAGACTGGGCCAGAGCAAAGGGAAAGAAGCTCATTATGGCAGTGTCTGACTGATCATCCTTTAAGAGTTGTTTGGTGAAAATAAGCAAGTAGAGGAGAGACTTGCAGGTCTTTGTGCTGAAGGCATTGGAAATGGTACACTATAAGTAGGGTAATTTTAAGACTCAGATTTGCAGATGCAAGTATGCTAACTCCTTGTTTTCCGAAGGTTTTATTAATTAATTTGAAAAATGAATACCCCTTCTTGGGTATGCATAATGAATTTTCACCACAGCAAAGAACAACTGCAACTCTTATCTTACCAGTCCTGCTCCCTGCCCTCACACATCCAGTAACTGTATGGTTTGTTGTGTCCTGTAACCAACTCGGAGAGTTAGCCAGTATTGTGAATTATATTTCACATTATGTCACCCTCGATTCATCTTGTCTCATCTGCCTCAGAACCTCAGACATCACCTTCTACCTACAGTATGAGTGATCGTCGTCCAACGATTTTTGTTCTTTTCTTCCTTTCTACTGTGTTTATTGTTAAAACAATCTCTTTATCCCTTAGATTTGTACCTAATTTTTACCATTATTAACATGCTGTTAATAATTATTATGCTAAGAATTATTACCATATTATCTCAGGAAGCACATAAGTGTTGCCTAAGTAGTAACTTAATTTTGTTATAGCCGTTTTTGCTTAAGCAACTTTTAAAGAACAGATTCTTAGGTCGAATGATGAAGCATCTAAGCTGATGCTTCAGAGCTCAGGTGGAATGAAAACCAGCAGAAACAGAGGTCACCAAAGACTTGGGGTAGAAACCACCGATTTAAAGCCAAATCTTATCCACACAATAAGAGCTTTAGTTCACTATTTTCCTCTCCTGAGCAGTCCCAGTATTATATTATCTATGCTACATAAAATCATATTGCCTGGTAATAATGTCTTTATTTATTTTAAGTGGATGTGCTTTTGAATTGTGCTTGATGATATTATAAGCCGAGGTGCACACAGCTGTCAGAAAGGATCGCTTTCACTTTCTATGCTGTTAAACTGGATAGAAACCCTGTTCCCAGAGGCAAGGGGCCTTTGCCTGTGTTTAATTGATTTTGAAAGAGTGTTGTAGGGGGTCAGCCCTTGTAGTGTAATTGCTCATTTCTAAAAACCCTGTCTGAATGACTCTGATCTTTAACTGTGTTGGAGTGTATGGGCTTGTTGCTGTTATTAATATGTGCAGAGCTTTGCTCTCTGATTTTGGACATCTTGGAAATTAAGCGCGTCTGAAAAAGACCCTTGCGTGCCATGTCCCTGACAGGCAGATGAGGTACTGGGTTTTTACAAGCGCACGCACTCGTGGGTCGGGAGAAGGTGTCTAGTCCTTGGGGTGGCTGGAGGCGAGTCCCCACCTCATGAGTCACGCCGGGAAGAGCCGCCGTGGCTCTGACTTTAGTAACGAGGGGTGTTCCCGCAGCACCTCGGAGGGCCTGCTCTCGGACTCCGAGTCCAGCGCGTCCGAGGGCCCGCTGGCGGACAAGAAGGCGCCCGGGAGCGAGCGCGCGGCGGAGAGAGCGGCCCAGCAGAACTCGGAGCGGATCCGCCTGGCACCGCAGTCCTCTTTCGCCAACATGCAGGTACTCGCCGCTGCCCGTCTCTCCCGGTGAAGGCGTGCGGCTTCAGTGTGCTGCTTGATATTCTCAGCGTTTTTATGAGGATTGTGCTGCCCGTGTGTGTCCTTGCTTTCCTTTCTCTGCAATACAGATGCTTCAACAACCTTGGCAAGCATGTATCTTCCTTGTGCATTTTATATACACCCATTTATACAAACATCTGCATGTATCAATGAGTGCCTATACAATATGTTAAGAAGTTTTAACAGAGCCCATGAACAATGATTTGTAGATTACGAAAAACCGAATGGCCTTTTTCTGTATGTGAACATTTATTGAGTAAATGAGCTTTATTATGCTTGATAAAGTACATATTTCTACCAATATTAGGTGGTTGCAGAAATAAATTTACCACAGGTCTTTATGTATTTACAATATTTTAGAGTCCTTCTTATTTCATGGCTTTAATGACAAATTGAAATATTGATGGATTAAACCATTATAAATGTTTCACAAAACTGACCAGTGGTTAGGGCTCTGGGCTCGTAACTGGTAGGTTGTGGGTTCAAATTCCAGGTGGGACACTGCGGTTGTACCCTTGAGTAAAATGCTTCAAGGGAATTGTTCCAGTAAAATACTGAGTTGTATAATATCTTCAGCCAATTAAAGACACAAAATGTAAAATCATTTCAAACATAGTTAATAATCGAAAGAAGCACTGCAGTGAACAGCTTCCACAAAATTAACTTGCGTTTAGTTTATGACTTAAGGAGGCCCGAGGATACAGCTGATGGGACGCACTTCAGAAAAAAGTTTTTTTTAGACTCTACTAAAGGTAATTTGTGCCTTTGATTTTCCTTGCAGGCTTTTGACTATGAACAGAAGAAGCTGTTGGCAACTAAAGGTATGTGAGGAGCTGGAATATCACACCATGTAAGCAGTGTGCTGAGTCCTTTGAACTACACTGGCCTTCTGTGTGTTGCACAACTGTGAAGTAAAGGTCAAAGGGAAAAACTGCTTGATGTACTTGATGTGCTCAAGAAATATAGTATAGAAATATGTTTTTGATGGTAAATTACATTCTTTATTTCCAAAAAGAGGAAACAATTTAATTTTACACTGGAATAAAATTTAACTTTTCACAAAAAATTGGTGCTTCAAAGTGAAGCAGATGTGCATCCTGCTCTGATGATCACACCTGTGGCGTCTGTTATTCAGCAATGTTGAAGAAGCCTGTGGTGACAGAGGTGCGGACCCCCACTAACACATGGAGCGGCCTGGGTTTCTCCAAATCCATGCCAGCAGAAACCATCAAGGAGCTGCGCAGGGCTAACCATGTGTCCTACACGCCCACTATGCCTACCACTTACGAGGTATGCAGCATGGTTTCTCATTGGTAATTGACTGCCTTAGTCTACGAGTCTTTTTTCCAACATTCTGATGAAGATTCAAACCATGAGCTTATGGCATTCATCCAATAGAGACCACCTGCATCACTGAGCCTTTACAGCACGAGACATGAGCTGCTCTGCTCTGCCTGGTGGCTCGTGGGCTCAGAGCCACACCCCTCAGACAGCACCTCAAGACCGTGTTTCTGCCTTGGGAGTATCTTATACTGTCTTGGTTTCAGGGAGGTGTCGGCACCTTCTGCCCTATGCCAAAGTACTGTACAGTTATCTGGACGGTCCTATTTTACCCTGAACTAATATAGTGTATTATCTGTCTGCCTGAATCAGGCCAGTAATGTCCAAAAATCTTTTTATGAAGATATGGCTGAAATTGGTCAGGCCCAACTTATTAAACGCACCAGCTGGCATTTCTTCTGAGTTTGCTCTTTCAGTAGCTTGTTTTGTCTTCTAGCAGGGTTCTCCTCTGTCTCTTTCGCGGTCCAACAGTCGGGAAGGTGTGGGAAGTGGGAGCGACTCGGACAACTGGCGAGAGAGGAACGGGAGTGGGCCCCCAGGCCACTCGGATTTCCCTTCGTCCGTCGGCAGCCCTAAGAGGAAACAAAACAAATCAGGTGCGCAGAGTGAAACGGAGCCGACAGTTTGACGTTCAACCCCTCTCAGCTCAGTATGTGCTATAAAATGTCATGTACAGAAGGTCACTGATTACATGGCTACAATAGTCCAGTAAAATTAAAAGTTTGTGGTGGTTTTGGCCAACCCAGAAAGTAGCATCCTAGGAGAGCGTCAGGCCACAGATGGGACGTCACGTAGGCACACGCACTGTGTTTGATCCGAGTTATCAACACACAGACGTAGTGTAACAATGCACAGTTCCCCTGACTCCATTGGCGTTCCTGTGAATGAGTTTGGAAACTACACAGAACTGTATTTCTAGACATCTATAATGCCCTTGCTTTTGATTAAGGTACAGAACGCAGTAGTTACAAAGAATATTTTTTTCTTGAACAGGTACAGTACTGAATATATTGCACTTCACATTAAACAAGCTGAAGTAGTGTACAGTTTCTGCAACACTACAATTTTAGGTCTCTGGTCTTTATTTAAAACATTTTTATAGAGCAGACAAATTTGAAACAATTGAAAACAAATAAACCTCCAAAACACCAGTTTCTGTCAAAACCTTTTTGTTTGCCACATGCCTCATAGTTGCTATCGATGATAAAATGTTTTTTAAATCAAAAAGCCTTGAGATTGCTGTGCTTTCCATGGCTACAAACTATTATTAGAAACCTAGTCACTTCTCAAATCTACGTTATAGTGTAATATTGAGTCAGTATGTCCTTGAAAAGGCTACAGTATCTTCAACAGAATATCTATGTCAAAGTTTTGTAACATTTTCACAATTCATTGGCAGTGAAAATGCATTTAAAGACATTTAACATTTAATATCTTAATTCTGGTTTAAGAAACATGTCTTGTGTAAGTGCAGTAAGAGGAAGTTAAAGGCTCCAAGTTGTCATTGTGGAGAAGTGTGAAGTAGTTTCTTCAAAAGGCTCCTTGGTCAAGGGAAAACACAGCTCTTCCAAATCCAACACACTTTGTTCATGGGCTCTGAAGTGGAAAGCTGTAGGTTGCTTTAACCTTGTTTAATGTGCACAAGATGAAGAAAATGTGATGTTCAGCAGTTTTTTACAGGGTTAAAATTAAGGGTTGAGCTGAGAGAAAAGAGCCACAGGCTAATCTGTGCTTATTTGAAATCTTTTTTTTTTTTTTCAGCTGAACACTATCTCAGCAGCAGTAACTATATGGATTGTATTTCATCAATGACTGGCAGCAATGGATGCAGCCTGAGCACTTCTTTCAAAGGGTCTGATCTTCCTGAGCTTTTTAGCAAACTGGGGCTGGGAAAGTATACTGATGTCTTTCAACAGCAGGAGGTTTGTCTACATATTTTTCTGTCTTTTGCTCAAGGGTTTTTTTATCATCTTGTTAAAAGGGATATTTTTGAAAGCCTTTATCTCTCCTCCTTAATAGAGATTACAATCATTTTCTATTTAAAGTATGTGGCATAAATATTAGTCGTGTTTCCATTGACATCATCATCCTGAGTAAACCTGCAAAATAAATCCCATCATCTGCAGAAGTATCCAGGACCAGGAGGCATAACAATGAAATGGGTTTTATAATAGGAATAACAGCCTCTGTAAAAGAGCTGTTATTTTATGTTTCTGAGAAGTGTTGCTGTTGTGAAGTATGTACTCGACTTTAAATCAATTGTTCTGACTTCAAGCCATCCTGGTTCACTGGATATGGTTTTTTGCTTTTATTAGAAAAAGAAACATTTTTTTTTTCTCTGCAGATTGATCTTCAGACATTCTTAACGTTGACAGATCAGGACCTCAAGGAACTTGGCATTACTACGTTTGGTGCTAGAAGGAAAATGTTGCTTGCAATTTCAGGTTTGTAAGATTTAGAGGTGTGTCTTGTACCAAAACCAGTGAGCATTCCAAACATCTTGTGAATCTGTCACAGACAAAGGAAAACTAAAAATGTCCCGTCAGGATGACTCTTGGTTCTGCCTGAAATATTTAACTGAATGCCTTTTACTTAACGTGTTATCATCTCAGTGTAGCCTCACACATGACAGAAAAAAGGTACCAAACCTTTAAAAAGGAAGTTGTTCAGCCTATTAGCTCACTTGATTGCCAGGAGCTGGCTGATCTTGCCCAACATGGCTAAATAGCTTGTTCCACACTAACACACACATTTGTGTAAAAGAAAGTCCTTCTGCTCTCAGTTTTAAATGTCGTTTATATAGTTTCTTATATAGTTTGTTATAGTTTATTTTTGCCATTGAGGTTTTTCAGTACTTGAATCAACTTCACATCTAGTCTTCTCTGTTCCTGTTCAAGATTGTTTTTTTCGCCTGTGAGGATAGAACATCCCTTTAAGCCCTAGAATGCATCTGGCTGCTTGTCTCTGGACTGACTCCAGATCAGCAATATCTTTTTACACAGTGATCAAAATTGAGGTTTTAATTTAATTTTAACATATGTTTTGATTCACATATTTCATTTCTAATTATAGAACCAAACATTTCCTCCTCTAGACAATGTAGAGAAGAAATAAAACAGCCAGCAGTGTTTATAGATTTTTAAGCTTAATGTTTCTACCTTATAGTTGCAGCTTATGTTTTGCTACTTCTATATATTTACTACTAGCAGAGTCACAGAACAAGTGAGGTCATTTATTTTGGGGTGATCTTTATAATGCAAATACTTAACATACCTTTGATGTAGAGGAACAGGTAAAGGTTTATCCATGCTGAAAAGAAAAGATATTTGAATTGACCTAAATCATGAAATGTCAGGTTTTTTTATACCCTTCACTGCCAATTATAGTTGACAAAGGACATTTTCTATTTGTGTCCTCATCTCCACTGGTCCTGTTCAAAATCTTCCTCCTACATACTGTATCTACATGTGAGGATCTATCCAAGAAGAAATCATTTGTAAAACCTAATATTTGTATTTTAAAAAACCAAGGAACTGTAGAATAAGGATAATATTTTAATTGTATTTCATAAATGCAATAAATAGGACAACCATATACTGTAGTTGTGGTCCTTACACAATCAACTGTTTATGGAAAGTAGGAATATGAGCATGAATCCCTTGGAGCCAGCAGGAATTGGAGGAGGGAGAGCCAGTTTAGACACAATATCTGAGGTCTGCTGATTATTCCACTGCAGTGCTCAGGTCTTAAGCACAAATCTGTTCTGATCTGTTGTCTTTATGAGCTGGATCACAGGGTTATCTATTATTTTCTGTTTTTTAGGCACCTTCTAAAAACTGACATCTAACAAACTCTACCTAATTCACATTTTTCTCTCTCCTTGACAAGCAGAATCCCATAATGAGTATTGGGCATCTCTTCTAGAGTCTAGAGGAATCACATTTCATATTATTGCTGGCTGGGAACAAAATTACTTAGGAAGCTTCCCAGTGTAATGATACAGCAATTTTATGACTAATTCTTAATTTCTTCAAATGCCCTTCTGTTTCTTTTCAAGCCTCATATACCTGTGTCACAGGGTAAGACATACTTTTCAGTTGGTGTATTTGTGTCTGAAAAAAACTTTTTCCGTTCTGTCTGCAGAATTAAACAAGAACAGGAGGAAGCTCTTCGAGCCTCCAAACATCCGGTCTTCTTTCCTGGAGGGAGGGGCCAGCGGCCGGCTGACTCGTCAGTTCCACTCGGACATGGCCAGTGTGAGTGGCCGGTGGTAGTCTGCCCTGGTCCTGGTTCCTGACCTACAGGGTGGTTAGTGCGAAACTGACGTCTGCTCTAGTGCACCTTAACCCTTGTGGACAGCCTCAGCTGCACAGAGCCATTAGCACTCAGAGTCTGGATATTATGGACCAAAGCCTGCCTAATGTAACAGTGCCTGTGCCAAAAACATAAACAGGAAGGACTTTTTAGCAATAAGAAAGCACTCATCAGTGCAATTTGCAAACCGCAGACATGGTACTACATAGCTGTATGTGGATCAGAGAAGATGTGGTGTCGCAAAGTAATTTCTTTTCACAAATGGAGGTATAATATATGAAATGCACTGTCATATCTTCGAAGGACTAGGCAAATGCTTTGGAAAATCATCCTTTTGATGTTATTTATATACGTTCCTAGTTTATTTTTAAGTGAAGTTATAACAACCCTCTGCACTTTAAGAAAACTAGATCCATCGCCTGTGGACATTTATTTCTCTGATCTACAGATGTTTTCAGCACTTGCAAACACTTGGGTGCCTGGCCAATTATAAGCACATACTGATATTATTTTTAGTTCCCGATAATGGTAACAGTATCCCAGAAAATTGAAATCAAAGTTAAAAGCAAAATTTATCATATACAATTGGTTTCCATTTTTTTTATCGTGTTGTTTTAGAATTACAGCAAAATATTTCTGATCTATAGTTTTTTTTAATATCTTTGCCTTATTGTAATGTTTTCTTTCCCTTTTTTATATGTCTGTTTTAAACGTATTATTTGTTTAAATGTAAACCTTTAAGTTTTGCATTATTTGCTTTTTAAGGAAAATTAAAGTTTTATTTAACCTTTTTTTTTTAAAACAAAAATCTCTTAGCGTTTGATTCCCCTCCCCAAGGCTGTGTTTAAGTTAAGCACTGTGGAAATCACTAGATGGGGTACCTGTGTGCATCTCTACATACAGTCTGGCTATAGCATGCCTAGCTCTGCTTCTTGCTGCATCAGGAATCTGATCTGGCTTGTAAACCACATCAAAATCCCATTTTACCTGCCATCTCATCAGGAGACAAAGGATTTCTGAATCAAAGTGATTTCCTTAATCTCGCTGTTTTAATATACTGGAATTCTGTGCACTACAGGGGCGCAAGATTTTTTCTAAGGCTTCTCAAGTTATTTTTCAATGCAGATATTACCTTTTTTGGGGTTCTTGGCACATTTGTATCCAGTTATGGACATAGCTATTTGGCTTTATTTTCTTCTTTAGTGGAATATGTAGGACGCATGGAGACAATACATGGAAGAGGAGTGGATGATAAATGTACAGCTTATAATGCTGCGTAGTGTGCCTGCAATGTTTACCAGAAAATTGAAGTAATTCATTTTTTTTGGGCAGTAGAGTAATGTGAGCACTGTGTGACTATATTAAGTCTTAATCTCACGGTTTTTATATCTACATCAAATCTGTATTCTGCCAAATATGGGCTGTTTTTTTCCCCCCATGAAACACAGAACAACATGCTTGTTGCATCAGATGTGGCCAGCCCTGATCTTGGAAAGCCAGATTTTTTGGTCATCTTAAATGAGATTAAAAAATTAATGTTAGCTACCGATGCAAAAAGATGCAATATCTAGCAGATTAGACTAGCAGATAAATTCTGACAGAAGTTCATTGAGGACCACATTTTCTGGTTTACAAACTGAACAGATTATCTTGCTAAACTGACCACAAAATTCCTGTGTTCCACGTCTTTAAAACATGATGGTTTAAGGGTCACCAGCTAAATGACTCATGCTGGAGAGATACTGTCCAAGATCGGTACTGGCTGCCCCTGAATTGCAGGATAAAACAGTTTGTGTTATAAAAATGTCTTAAACTGTGAATTCTCATTTTCATCATGTGGACATGCTCTGCCAGTTTTACATTTTTGATAGCTAGTGAAGGGATGTTTTTGCAATTGAAGTTTACCATCAAGTGCCTCTTTTTGCCTGTGCTATTCCTGCATGTATCTAGTTGCCAGCCTTTCCAAAGGAAGGAATACGAAGTATCTGTACTGTTTTATTTGTAAGGTACAAATATATACATTTGGATGTAAACCACTGAAGAAAAGTTCTTGTAACTAGCTTTTGTAATATCAAGAAATTTGTGTATTCATGCTTTGATGTTATAAAAATATACTGTATGTAATGTTCTGTGTGAGATATAGGTACAATTTTACAGGGCTAAACTGCACAAATAGGAGAGTAAAATGTATTTTAACATATATCTCTATTGTTTGAGTTGCGCTAGGACATTGATCATTTTCAAAAGATCATCCAGTCTTTCTCTTTACTAGTGGTGGTACTGCAGTTTATCTGTGTTATGCTAAGTTCAGTGAGTCCTGAAAAGCAACCTAAAAAAGGAAAGAAATCCCTTTATCACTTGTTTGGGGACCAAAGTGAAGTGTGATCTAAAGATCACAACAGATATTCATAAATGATTGCTTTAACTTGCACTTTCTTAAAAAGTAAAATACTTGTTAGTATTCTTCTGAAGTATCATTGATATTAAACCATTTGTTTTCAGTTCTTGAATGTTTCTATCTTACCACAATAAAACCAAACTTGTGAATGACTTTGAAGTTCACTTGGTTCTCGGTAGAATTGGTCTGCTGTGAAGACCAGTTGTGTTGTTTCGGATTGCCCAAACAACAGCAAAGTTGTTTCTTGTCAATGCCGGGCAGTGAAATGCTTAGTTAATGGCTACGCATTTTTCCGTTCCAATTTATTTTTATTTCCTTGTAAAGGAGAAGGTGAGAATGCATTGCAACTAGGATAAGCAATATTACATGTTAGAGTGGCACCAAAGTGAAAGGTCTCCCTCAAATGGAGAAAACCGATTTAGATACCCAGGGCTGCATGGAAAAAAAACACTGGAAATAGCTCACTTTCTTATATTTGATAAAGGGAATATGTCATTTGTTCAGTAATGCCTTAAAATTGTATTATGCACAATACATTTGAATCAGTAGCTACAAATGAAGGTTAGTAAATCAGTGCCTTAAGAATAATTCTTTTTTGTATCTGTAAATATAGCACAGATAAAATTGTATTTTTGTGTTTAACTGATTTTTTTGTGAAATGAATGGTCTGTAAAAATATATAACAGCAATTAGCAGCTTTATTGCAAAGTAATAAACATATACAATCCCCTCTCTCCCCCCTCTGTGTATAATGTCATCTGCAAACAAACGGGCATAGAAACACTACTACTGTATATACAGTATGTGTGTGTGTATGTATATATACAAAACAGGAAAATTTTTTATCTGCTGGCCTGATGTAAGATGTCAGCAGAAGGAATGGAGGGAGCGTGCCTCAGGTCAGTGCAATGCGAGTATTTCTGAGACTGCAGGAAGAAGTTGTGTAAGATCATAGTAAGACAGACACGCCAGTTACATACATTCATGTACAATGTGAGGACAGGACCTTTAGAACTTCTCTTCGCTCAAACTCTCTGGACCTAGGCTGTAGATCTACAGACAGGAAATTAGCTCTTCCTTCAAGATGACATTTTACTGAAAGGAGTTAATTATGAGTTAAGAGGCAAGCATTTACTGAGCAGCTACTTTAAGTGACTGTACTGTATATACTGTACAGTATTAAGTTACAGTATTATACAGCAGTATTAGTCTTACTGCATAACTGCACCAATGGACTGCTTTGCCAAAGAAATGGCATGTGAGTTGTGATTTGAGTTTGTAATACCTTCCCTCGTCATCATGAGCTGTGTAAGATTGCCACAACTCACTGGCTGTTAAACATAGTACTCTGAAAGGTCACTATTCTTTGTTTCTCTAAAGCTATTATTCCTCTTCAGTGGAGTGAAGATTCAAAGAGCAGCATGCAGAGTAGTTTGACTTTCATTTTTCTGATCTCTATATTAAATCCAGCCTTTTCTTCAATCTGCTTTGTGTTTCTGAGCCCTGATATGTTTCTCAGAAATGGATTAAAAAAGGCCTTCTGTCTAGTGTATAACTTGCTGTAGACGGCAGGGGCACCTAGGATGCAGTGTGTAGGCTAGGGGGAGGAGCCAGCCCTACTTGCAGCACAGGGAGGTGAAGGATTGAAACGTTAAAGATACACAGTGAATGTCTCTGCTTCCAATCCCATTGCATTTCTTTCATCTTTCTGTCTGTCTGAGGCAAACTTTTCTTCCCCCACCCCCCATGGAAAAATGCTGGCAGAAGCCTTGATAGAAATTTATGATTTTTATTTCCAATCTGACACATTTGCAGAGAACAAAAATGTTTGGAGTTTATAGAAAAATCGATGTCCTCTACAAGAACACTGGCATGAATCATATCATACAATTGAGAGACAATGAAGACGGTGAATATTGTATTTTTTATACAATAAAATGTATAGTTAATAAAATGTGTTGATGTTAATGTAATCTGCATCACATCAGTGGAGAAAGCGGTTGCTAGCATGTAAAGACCGGCCTCCTATCATCAAGTACAGTATGTAAACCTTTCACTTTAATTGTTAGATTGGTACCAAAGCCAACGTGTCCATTAATCCAGTGCTGCTGGATTTCTGTAATCTGCTGCAATGAGTCAGATGGGGAAATAGCTGCTGGCAGATGCAAACCCATTGCATTCTTATTTCAAAGGAAAACCCTTTAAAAAAATCACAGCTTCGAAGTATCATTACATCCGCATCCTTCAACTGCAATGCCCTGGGATTATCACTGATGAGCTCATTTTTACACAATGTACATGGTTTAAAAGTACATTTGAAGCTTGCAAATGTTATCCTCTGGGTAGCACAAACATCACTGCATCAGCTTCTTGTTAAAAAGGAAACCATACTCCATATGATTAAGACAGATTAGCCGGTACAGAAAGACAGTACATATGACAGGCCTACAGTTACACCCAGCTATGAAAATTGTGTGCACCTCTAAATCCATGTGCCTCAATACATTATTCAGAGGTGTCTTAAAAGTGTAGGTGCTAAATTGTGAGTGATTTTGTTAGACTACTCTTGCAAAGTTGATTGGAATGTTTACAGTCTCTTGCTTTAATACATTTTTAAAATGTTATTGTAAACCCAATGGATGTTTACTTATTTTAAGGGTCATAAAAGCAACAGGCAATATCTGAAATCTCCACTAGATTTTTTCTTTTTCTTGCAATGTTCAAAAAAAGCTGCTGGACCTTACTTTTCCAAGGGAATAATGTTTCAAAATGGAATTTGTACATCAACATTATGGTTTGTGGTTCAGGCTCAAAAATGTGTTTGCTCTGTTTGTTTTAGGGTTTCTTTCCCTTGTGATTTCAGTCTTAGTCTGTTGAGTAATTTGAATATTGCTCTGTTATTTTAAGTTTTTACTAGGTTAGTGCAATATGAACACACTGTCCAGCCGCACTCTTGGTAATGCACAGTGCACAGTAATGTTATCTTCTCACAGAGTTCTTTCTAATAGATCTTTAAATTGCGTAACGGCTTTCAGCGTGGGAAACGTCAGGATCTTTGAAACTGACGAGGACGATGCTTGCGGAGACCAGTATACCGGTTTATATTGTATTGTGATGCGTTTTCCCACTTACAGTTGGCACTGTACTTCATCTCTAGGAAAAATAAACTACCTAACACGCAGCAGGTGCCTGAACAGGGTGAATGGAGGTCACCCTA